TGACGTCATCTGGGACTCCCAGACCTCAGCTCGTCAATTAAATATGCAGGTTGGGAAAAGGTCTGGGAAGACCTACACTTGGAAGTTGGCCATTATCAGTGTAATGTGTATTTCCTTATTTTTTATAGTGAATGTGTATTTTTATAGTGAATGTGTATTTCCTTACTATCTAAAGGCAACATTGTTATGCACGCAAGGGATTGTTTTCTTTTTACCCAAGTTATTAGCTGTTGAAGATTTAGAAACACAGAGAGAGACCAGAAAGGGGAGAAGGTCGCCCATAATCACAGTCCCCACCACCCAGACATGATCTGTTGCGATTTGAGTGAATTTCTTTTGGATCTTTTCTATAACTACAATATGCACTTTTTAACAACAGCAAAAAAATCATATGATGCATTTTGTAACTTCTCTGCTTTCTAATGTACGCTCAACATTTTCTCTCATGAGCATCTTCCTCCACAGTCCAGTTAATGGCTTACAGTATTCTATGAGATGGAAGGACGAGGCTTCTCTCAACTCATTTCTCCCTCTCAGATTTTCAATCAGTAAATATTTCACTTTAGTCCTCCACAATCAAAGTGTCCTTGTGCCATTCTCCAAATATGCCTACTGTGTGCAGAGACAGGGTGCACTTCCTGGTCACCAGTGAGTCAGGGAGTGCCAGGGGTGCCAATAACCTTTGGGCCAGGCCCCCCTGGTGGCGCAGCGGGTTAGGATGCAGCACTGCAAGCTGGTGGCAGCCGCTTCAGTGTGAGTGCTGGAGGTGACCGCATGGCGTGGCAGACCTCTCCTGGCCCGCCCGCTGCTCCCCTCAGCAGTGGACTTTATCGATCTGCCTGTTCTGCTCCCCGCTCTGTCTCTGGTGAAGCCTCTCACCACCCCTGCACCTCTGGCTTGTACCCCAGTTCTGTATGCATAAATAATTAAATCTTTTTAAAAACAAACAAAAAATAATAACCTTTGAGCCGAAGCTTTAAGCACCAGTGCACATGTAAGAACGTCGTCTTCCTATCTCAGTTGGAGAAAGGGCTCCCTTGCCTAGCACACAGCCCCGGCTGACCTGACCTACACAGGTGTAGCTCAGAGAGGAAACCAGCACTGCGGTCTCAGCCATTGGGACTGTTTTGTTTCTGTAATATGACTTATCCTCTGCTCCCGACTGACTGACCTCAGGGTTGATGGGAAGACAGTGTCCCAACCGCCCCAGGCACGTACCAAGCACATGTGGTCTTACTGGGGAAGTCCAGCCTACATACAAGGAAAGAGTTCAATAACCAGTGACAAATAACCACTCGAGGCAAAACCAATTCAAGCTGTCTTGGAACAGTCAGTCTGGAAATGTTCAGCCCCTGAAAGAACAGCAGGACGGCTGACAGCAGACACCTGGGCATGTCTGGGGATCACCAAGACAGACGTGGTAGAGGACAGGGGGGAAGAGGGCTCCCAAGGTTGAGGGGAATTGAGGGAGAAAATGGGGGCAAGAGAGTTGGCGGGGAGGAAGACAAAGGAATTATAATCAAGCAAAACATGAGCCCAAAAGCTACTGGTAGGTGATTCCGTGAGAAGCAGGAGTTTTGTGACAGTAAGAACTGGTGACCGTGTCAGAGAAGGAAAAGGGCAGGCTGAGGCAAAATCAGCTGCAGGGAAAGGAGACTCACCCTTCCTGTGCTCTCGTCCTTCCTTTGGGGAAAAAGCCTCCATGACTGACTCATGCAGAAATGGCCTTGCTAAACTGACCTTTGGAGATTCGACAGTTTTAATCATGCAGACACTAGTTCCAAGAGTAATCTTAACTTCAGATAAAGTGAAAACTTTTACAGGCTGCTAATGCTATTTGAGTAGTCACTCCCAACAGCTGCAGAGCTCCTAGGCTGGGGGGAACCTTGAACCTTGTCAGTCACCCAGCTGGTGTCAATCAACAGTTCTCAGTTACTCATTATCAGTATCTGCTGATGTCAGGGAGTGTCAGGCAGGCAGGCTATCAGTCACTGTCACCCAACCAATGTCAGTCAGTCAGACTGTCAGTGTCAGTCACTCAGTGCCAGTGTGTCTCAGTCAGTCATTACCACACAGTCAGTCATCAGTATCAGCTTGATATTGTTAGTGTCTGAGTGAGGAGAAACCAAGGGCCCCAAACAGTGAAGGGGTACATGCTCTAAAAGGAATTCTGCCATCTACATGCACAAAGGAAAAAAAAAAAAAAGCCGACTCTTAGTATGAAACATCTTTAATAGAATTGTGATACATAGAGAGAGAAGGAAGTTTGCCAAAACAACTCCCAAAATTATCCATCCCCTCATAGGCAAATGCCCAGTCAAACCAGCTTGACCCGGAGAGGGACTTCTGAAGCCCGAAAGTTTGCCACAAGTCTAAAGCATCTTCTGTCAGAAACCACAAGAAAGGGGTTAGGAAGGCCCCAAAGAGCTAGAACAGGAAGTTCAAGACTCGAAATATGCCACATAATTCAACATGAAGTCAAGATAATGGGTGGCACCTAGAAGGACCCCAGGCTTGGTTGAGTGTTCAGTTGTCACTGGCTTGAAATTCCTGATCACTTCTTTTAACTCTCGATCACAGGGACCCACCCGTTACGCAGCCTGGCTGCACCCATTCCCTCATGGTGGGACTGTGGTTCCAAATCTTTCCTGGGTCCTGACCACCACCCCCATCACCCATGTCTTTCTGCTCTTTTCTCCCCTTCCCCTCTATGCTTCTCCCCCAGGGAGATTTTTCTCCCTTTTTCCATGGAGCCGTGTCAGTACCAGCTAGCAGTTGACACATTGCTCCCCAACTGAGTTCTCTGTAAACTCAAAATTGGGGTTCAACTTATATGAAACAAGCCAACTTGATGGCTAATCTTGCTTCTACCTCTCTCCCCTGACATGCTATGATTCTGCCCCAAACCACCATCTAGAGGCCTCTGGGAAAGTCGCCTGTGGGAACAAGGGGAAATGACTGAGCTCCTCAGATCCAAGCAATCAAGGACGCTGTTGCAGGTTTACACAAGAAGAGCAGCTTTGATGAGATTTTAAAGGTCTAGCAAACAAGCAAGCAGTCTGTGTGCTTGGGAACAGCCTCCTGGAACACAGCAAGGCATGTCCTGGCCTGGGGCCTCACCGCCACCCCCAAAGGGAAAATCACCAAGTCAAGCAGCCACCACCTCGGTCTTCACACCCACCACAGCTTACACAGAAGCAAGTTTGTACAACTTGAGTGTGAAGAGAACAGATGCAGTTTATTTGGGGAGCGGTGACAGTTATGCAATTAGGAATTTTTCATTCTGTCTCATACATAGTTCATGTCACAAAGACATACCAAGACTTTGGATGAGGTTCCAAAGGGGGTTTACATTCGCCGTGTGGTGTTTCTTCACTTGTTATTGTGCTTCTCTTAATCACAGTGAACTAAATAAAATAGCTTTACAGCTTACTAAAACTCAAACTTGTCTTCAAAGGAAGCAGTTTAAACATTCCCAACGGTAAACCAATGCACCAAGTCCACGTCAGGAGACAGACCCAAAAGACAAAGCAGCTCTAACGTAAAGCTTGGTGCCAAAAAGAAAAAAAAAAAAAAAAAACAGGTGGGAAATCCAATTTATCTAGAAAGACTGGATTCCCTTCAGGTCTGAGGTCCCATAATAGTAGACACAGTTATGGGTGTGGTGTCCTCTTTTGTGAAAAGAAGAGTGGAACAGGTCTGGCTGAAGCCAAGGCGACACAGCACTGTGTCTCCAGGGGGTTAAGAGCACCGGGGACAGGGGCTCCTGGGGGCGGACCTGGGGCTGTCTGTGCCAACAGGGCACTCAGAAGGGCCTACCGGTCCAAGAGGCCCCCAGGGGGCAAACTCAGGAGGCTGGAGCCATCCCTACCTGAGGCAGTCTCCTCAGGAACACACCAGCCAAGACCTACACAGCAGGGCCCAGCCCAGACCGTGTCATCGCCTGCCCTCTGTCAACAGGGGCCTCTTCTCCCCAAAACTCAGAGCAGTAGCAGAGGTGGAAGGTGGCAATGAACCCTGGCCCACCCCAGCTCAGGAATTTCTGAGCCAAAGTTTCAACTCAGCAGCTGTGAGGGGTGGCATAGGTGGCTGTGTTTGCTGGAAACTACACTGATAGATGGCCAAAAAAACGGAACTCAGCCCTGGGGGGCAAAGGGGGTGTGCTTTGATATAGATGGTGTGTGTGCGATGTGATATTTATGGGGGGGGGTGTTTGTGTGTAAGGCCTGGGAAATCGCCCCTCAACCCAATGTTTCCCTGTCACACCTCCACAGACCAGAACAAACAAGCAATTTCAAGGTCACAGCTCCCACACTTCAAGGCTAGAGGCCCCCCTCGTGAGGGCAGGAGCTGCGCCTATGGAATCATCCATTTGCCAAAACCTCCACTCACCAGCAGGATGTTTCAACTGTGATTTGCCGCAGTGAAATCCAAGGCCATTTAACAGGAGTTTTCAATGACCTACACTAAGTTTGCGTGGCTACCGAGGTGTGAGCGCACACACTGGGCCTCTCAGAGTCTCCTGCTGAGCCCGACCCTGTGTGCCTGAGGTCTCCTAAGCCACTTATCCAGCATGACCTACTCTGTTATCTCCTATCCACCCAGGAATCCCAGTTGCAGCTTAACCCACAAAGCCATGGAGAGTTCCAAGCACACCCTTGGAGCCATGGGGGGCCTTATCTTCCAAGCATGAGAAAGAAATCGCTTCCTCCAGAAGTAGCCAATGTCCTCCTGCCACAGGCCCTGCCTCCCTGGGAGGTGCATCAGCCAGTGGTGAGGAAACTCCCCTGACCGGCTCCTGAGGAAAGGGGCCTCACCAGCGGATCCCGGCCTGGCAGCCTGCCCCCCAGGCTGTAAGGCAAGACACTGGCCATGGCTGGGACTCGCTCCTGAGGGCTTTCCCACAGGCCCCCCCCCCCCAGGGCTTTCCCACAGGCGCCAGACCCTTGCATCTCCGGATGAAGACGGTGAGGCTGGCGATTTGGAGGGCGCAGGGGCAGTCATGACCACTCCACCTGGTGGGGTGGGAAGAGCGCGCTGCAAGCCCGTGCCAGCGCCCCCTCCCCTTGGGCCTCGGTGGTCGACGGGCCCCTCGAGGCGCTGTGGCCCCAGCTGGAGTCCGTCCAGGCTGCTGAGCGCCTTGGGAACCCACCTGCTTCTGTGGGGGCCCAAGAGCGAGGGGGCTGCCGGCGCTGGGAGAGCAGGTCATTCTGCGCACCCCCCGGGAAGTAGCCCCCGCGCAGGCCCGGCGGGGGGCCCGACTGGGTGGCCAGGGACAGCGAGGCGGCGGGCGCCCCCCAGTCGAGACCGAGCGGCTCGGGCACGAGGCCGCCGCCAGGGCCCGACTGGGGCGCTCCGAGGAGCCCCGGGTCGTCGCTGAAGTGTAGCCGCGACAAGCGACCTTCCAGGGCAGCCACGTCCGCCGTCCCGCGGGCCGGAGCCAGGCTGGGCGCGCCGGCTTCCCGCGGGGCGGGCCAGG